ATTGGGTTAAGACGTCTTCACTTGACAAGTAGGTGTGTAGGTGTGAGCACTGTTCCTGGAACTCGCTTTGTGGTACTTGAACCCTTACGCCTCCAAGGAGTAGATATGATCGTCTTCATTCCATGGAGGAAGAAACCGAGGCACAGAGGAATCTGCCCAAGTCATCCCAACTTCCCAGATGGTGGCATGTGAGTTTCAACACTGGCAGCTAGCTCTGGAAGGCCCAGGGCTCAGCACAACTACAGAGAGGTCTCCAGCTAGCAGCCACACACCATGTCAAGCAGGACCCACGGGACTCTTTCTGGGTCCAGGAGAGGATCTAAGTCAGAGCTATCTGTTTGCTCTGAACATCTCACATGCTCGCCTGTCTAATTTGTGAGCTTTTTGAGGCATCAGTTTCATTTCTAGTTCATTGTCCAAAACATGTTGGCTATTCCAGGGGCTGATTTTGCATCCCTGGCAGCCAACATATTGTATAACACATAGGTGCTCAAAACCCATGTCCTTTGTAACTATACATGCTTGGGCTTTGTGCTGGGTGCTGAGTGTGCAGAAATGGGAGACATGGATGTCGCCCACTAACACTCATGGCAAGAAGACTGGTGGGCGCCAAAGGGAGCAACCCAGGCAAAGGGCCAGGAACCTGCTAGCCAGAAGTCTGGGTAGCTAGACATAGCTAGAGTCTCAAGCAGCAAGGTCTTCAAGGAAGGCTGAGACAGATTGATAGTTCCTTTCACGTCCCAGGGGGAAATGTTGGCCTCAACCTTGAGGCAATGGAGGGCTAATGGGAACACAGACCAGACACCTGGGACAACTCTGTACAGCATGCTGAGGATGGAAGGAGAGGCAAACAAATAGGAGAGGCTGCGTGGTAAGGACGGCAGGAGGAGCACAGGAACCAGGCATGCTGGGGGCATGGGCTCCGGCAGGACAGAAAAGAAGAAACTGGTGGAGCGGGCAGCCCCAAGAACAGATGGTCTTGGAAGGGAGGAGGGGCAGAACGAGAAGAAACAAAAGCAATCCAGATGGGCCAGGGAACTGTGGGAGAGGGGAGGGTGGGAGTATAGACACCCAGCAGGGGAGGGGGCCAGAAAGGAGTTGGAGAGGGCCCTGGCTCCAGTTGAGGCAGACAGAACTGCTGGCCGCCTGCAGCTTTGTGCTCATGGCTCAGAAATGTCCCAGGCTTGCCAAAAGACTGCCTGGCCCCTGCTGGCCCCTGCTGGCCCCTGCTAGTCGTGTCTCCTACCAGGCCAGGCAGCTCCCACATCAGGAGCTTTGGGGCTGCCTACCCTACCTAGCCTTCCCGAGTAGGGACCCCTCTCTCTCGGGCCCAAGGACACCTTGACCCCTCCCCACCCCCAAATGACTGCTTAAACAGGCTAGACAGGAATGGGAGAGAAGCAGACATTTGCAGCGGGCCTGTCAGGAAGCAGGGGGTGGGCAGAGGCCAGCTGGGCTTGCCAAGGGGCCCACAAGTCCAGCAGGGAGGGAGGCAGAATGGGGTCTAGAGAGCAATCGCAGCTGTTAAGGAGTTAATGTCTGGTCCACACTGCTTCCCTGACAGGCCTAATGAGACCCAGGTGGTCCCCTGGCCCCTGACAGTGTAAGCTGATGCTGGGGGCTGGCTATTGGGATTGGGGGGGGGGGGCATTCTGCAGTTCCAGGGGCGGGGCTGGGTCTGTGGGCTCAGACCCAACACATAACTGTGGGCGGTTGCAGTCTGGGGCCCCAGACAGCCTGCCTCTCTGAACTGAGCTGACAGCATGAAGGTACTAGTCTGGGGGATCAGGACCATTTGTGGAGACAAGCCACTTGCCAGATAGTAGGCAGAGAAGCATAGCAGGGATCTCTCGAAACTTAAGCTCTGGGGATACCGAGCATTTCCCAGAGAGCAGAGAAGGAAAAAGTAGACAGAGGGCATGGTTTCAGCAGGGGGCAGGAGGTGGAGGGCTGGGAGGTGTCTGACCCATGCTGGGGGCTACACTCAGCTGTCTCCCACCACCAGGCTCTCCCAGCTCTGCCTCTGCTGCTGCTGCTGCTCTCTATACCTCCCTGTGCCCCCCAGGCCTCCGGGATCCGGGGAGATGGTGAGTAGACCCATTCCCGCGAGCCATTGTGAGCCAGGCTCTGCGGGACTGTTCCCTCCTCTACAAACTGGCAGTGGCCCCGAGAGAAATCTTGATTTCTCATGACAAGGTCCCTTAGCCCTGGAGAAAAACAGGGGCCCTGAGGTGTCCTTTATGTCTCAGTTTTTCTCCTTGCTGTCCCCACACTGTCCCTCTCAGCTCTGGAGAAGGCCTGCCTTCCGCAACCCCTGGATTGTGATGATATCTACGCTCAGGGCTACCAGGCAGATGGTGTGTACCTCATCTACCCCTCTGGCCCCAGTGTGCCAGTGCCTGTCTTTTGTGACATGACAACTGAGGGTGGCAAGTGGACGGTAAGTAGGCAAAGGGGCCCTAGCCAGACATGGTTCAGACAGCGGCATGATTCTGAGCATCACGTCTGCAAACTGGGCTCCTCATCTTTATGGGGACTGGATGCAGGGCTGCTAACACTTCCGCGCTGGTGGGTTAATGCATGCTGTCCTCACAGTGGTCCTGTTAGGTAGGTGCCTTTCCCAAATGAGGAGCTGCAGATCTAGAGAAGTAGCGTTGCTTGGCTTGGGCCACGCAGTGCCAGAGCTCACAGCCAGGTATTCTAGATCCCTCTGCTCCCTTTTTACCACGCAATGCTGGGATGGAATCCAAGGCCTATATGCTAGTTTGGTGTTTTGCCACTAAGCTGTCCCTGGCCCCCAACTCCCCCTTAATCTTTTCCCCTTCCTGTCTGTCAGTGGACAAGAGACCAGAGAGGGACCCCCTTTCAGCAGCAGATGGTCAGGGAGAGGCCAGGAGCCAGTGTATTTTGTTTCCACAGCTCCCCAATACTCACTCAAGTCCTTAATAAACTGGCTCAGCAGTGCCAGGCCTGGTTGGCAAGGCAGGGCAGGGCAGGACAGGACAGGGCAGTGTCCCTGGGGGTACTGAATCTCCATCATCCACTCCCTTGTCCTCTTGCTTCTAGGTTTTCCAGAAAAGATTCAACGGCTCAGTGAGTTTCTTCCGGGGCTGGAACGACTACAAGCTGGGCTTTGGCCGTGCTGACGGGGAGTACTGGCTGGGTAAGGTGGGGCCACGGGGTAGGGGCTGCCCCTCAGCCAAGTCTTTGCTGACCAGCCGCTCCCCTCCCCTAGGGCTGCAGAACCTGCACCTCCTGACACTGAAGCAGAAGTATGAGCTGAGGGTGGACTTGGAAGATTTTGAGAACAACACAGCCTATGCCAAGTATATTGACTTCTCCATCTCCCCCAACGCAGTCAGCGCTGAGGAGGATGGCTATTCCCTCTATGTGGCTGGCTTTGAGGATGGCGGGGCAGGTACCTCTATCAGCTTCTTCAGGGGCAGTGGCAGTAGGAGGGGGAGCAATTAACATAGGATTGGCCCTGCCCCATTGACTCCTCAATGCCCCTCCTTCAACCCTTCTGGGCTCTCTCCAGACCAACTCAAGCCACCTGAACCACAGCCCTAGGGAACGCAGGCAGCCCTGGCCCTGCTCCAGGCGGCTCTGCAGAACAGCTGTTTCTCTTTGTGGCTCAGGGAGGGTGCCTCCATCCCAGCAGGATGCCACATGATGCGGTCCCTCAGTGTCATTCATCACCTGCTGTCACTCACAGCCTGCCAGCACAGGCTCTGCTCCTGGTCTCAGCAGCTCTTTCTCCCTCCTGCCAGGTGACTCCCTGTCCTACCACAGTGGCCAGAAGTTCTCCACCTTCGACCGAGACCAGGACCTCTTCGTACAGAACTGTGCAGCCCTCTCCTCAGGGGCCTTCTGGTTCAGAAGCTGCCATTTTGCCAATCTCAATGGCTTCTACCTGGGTGGCTCCCACCTCTCTTATGCCAACGGCATCAACTGGGCCCAGTGGAAAGGCTTCTACTACTCCCTCAAGCGCACTGAGATGAAAATTCGTCGGGCCTGAGGGGCTGGTCCAGGCAGGCCCTATCTCTCCCCTGGAAGCCCCAAGTCTCCATGCTGTACCCATAAGATACTGCTTCCACTGCTTTCTGAGCACCAGCAATGCCCTGGCAAATCCCTGTCCCATGTCTGGGGTAACCATTCCTAAGTCAGGCCCTGCTTGCCTTTCTGAGGCTAGGCTGTCAGCAGGCCTTTCTGTGGCCCAGCCATTCCAGCCTGGTCTAGCAGAACTCTACAAAAACTCCAACTTGCTCCTACTCCCTCCAGACAGCCGAAAGCTATAAGCTACCTGCTGGCTGGCAGCGGGCACACTCCTTCGCACTCCACCTCAGGCTGTCTCTTTACTGCAGACCCACCTGTTTGGGGCTACTCTAGACAGAGTAACGCAGCACCTATGGCACTCGCCAGCCAGCGCTCCACCACACTTCCCACTCTTGGTCTCCCCTTAGAGTGAGCACCATGGAGCCCAACCCCACTTGCTGCCTAGTTCTTCAAAGTTCGATGCCAACACAATATTCACCACAGCAACAACTCACCAACCCTGAAGTAGCCACTGACAAGATGGCATGTTAACTAGGTCCCCTGTTTGCCCAGCGATTGTCATGAAAGGCAGCAAAGAACAATCTGTGGGACTGGGAATGGGAGGGAAGTGGAGGTCTCAATAAACCTTCAGGATCTGATGGACTGGCTTTGTGGACAAACATTTACTTGAGCCCAAATAATATGGGCACCTGGCTCTTCTTTATATACCTATTGCTGGTGTTCTTACCCCAACTCCAGAAATGACACACAGTCAGGTTAAAGGAAACCTTGTATTTCACAGACCTTATTTTGATGGCAAAACAAATGCATATTACAACAATAAAAATACAATACTGAAGAAGACCGCTCAGGGGGGAGTAGAGTCTCCCAATCCTGTTATGGCTCGGTGGTGGCTCAGATGGCTGCTTAAGGCTGAAAGGTGGGTCTGAGATGAACCTGCAGAGTAATTCAGGCTGAGCCTCACCTGCCAGTGCCAAGGCTGCAGGCCTCTGGATTGCATCCCTGGACCTTGAAGCTGGGTCTCTCCTGGCAGCAAGGCACAAGCTGTGGGTTTCAGGGCTCCTGGAGGTCAGGCAGGTCGGCCAGCAGCATTGGGGAATCCATCTGGATCTCGCGCTGCAGAGACTCGATGTCAGCAGGGTTCATGCCATGGCCCTCAAGCCAGTCAGCAAGGAGGGAGGCTGAGAGTGAAGCTGAGTCTGCCTGGCTACAAGGAAAAGGAATTGGGATGGGTGCTCTCAGCCAGAGCCAGCTGGGCAAGCATCCAAGGACCCTGCTATAGCCCCGTTCCAGGAGCTCAACCCAACCGTCTTACCCATCCTGTGGCCCATCAGCCACACCCATATCGAACGATTGGTTTAAGAATTCCTCCAGGTCAAAGCCAACACCATAGCCAGCCCCACTGCCCTTTGGAGTGCCTGAGAACACAGGAGGCAGGGGGTCCTCCACCTGCAGGGACAATAACAGATTATAACACAGGTGCCAGGAAGGACAAATTAAGGTCAGCAGGACAGTTTGCTATTACTAACCACTCTAACCAGATATTCTAGAACATGAATGCTATCTCAAAATCAAGTACTAGTGCAAGGGAATGGGAGCTATCTCCAAGCCAGACACTTTCCAAGCAAAGTCTACCTCCCACAGCCTCTTCATGAGCAATGGGCAGGCTCCAGGTGAGGCTACCTCTGTTACATCATTTCACCCAATATGGACAACCCAAACCCACCTGCCAGGACCCAGATCAAGGTATCCTGGGTCTTTGTCTCTCTTCTCACCTGAGACTTGGACAGTTGCTGGGTCACCAGGTTGACATCAGGTGACTCTGATGTGGAAGGCTGAGGGGCTCCCCCAGGATCTGGAGGTGGTGGGCCAGATGGGAAGTAAGGCAGAACTTCTGGGGCATTGGAGCCAGGCAACCCACCAGTTGGCACAAGTGACTGAGAGGCCAGAAGGCTAGTGGAAGGGGCAGTTTGGAGTGGGGCAGGGACAGGTCCAGGAGGGCCAGAAGGCTGGGGAGCGTGGCCAGGGGGTGGGCAAACGGGCTGGGAGGCAGGACCAGGAATAGAGCCTGCAGGCTGTAGAGGAGGACCAGTGGACTGGGATACAGGGCCAGTGGGAGGACTCGTGGATTTGGCAGGGGACGGCGCTGGGGCTGGGGCGGGGGCAGGAGGCCGAGCCATGCGAGTCCACCGCTCTAGCAGGCTTCGGTCATTGTCACTAAGCACCAGTCCAGCCAGAGGGTCAGTAGAGGGGCCCCCCAAGACACCAGCCCCCCTTTCCTTGCGCTCCCGCTCCTGTCGTCGCTTCTCCCGCTCCTTGGCTCTCTCTTGCCGCCGTCTACGCTTCTCTTCTCGCTCTCGCTGGCGTTCCTGAGCTGTCACAGGCTTTCGAGGTTCAGGTGCCTCCAAGGGTGCACTGGGGCCATCTGCAGGGCAGTTGGACAAGGGAAAGGTAAGGGCTTACCATCCTGTCCAACAGTCCTTGTCTACCACTCCACTCCCCAGCCAGCTGCTAGACCCACGAAGTACCTCTGAGCCGGCTCCTCAGGGACTTGAGCAGGGCAGCTTTGAGGGCTGCTTTGGTATTGTCAGAGATGGCACCCTCTCTTTTTGGTGGGGCAAGCTCACTGGCTGGGGGTGCAGGCTGCAGAGTCAGATCAACAGTGTCAGGCGCAGGGCCAGAGCATGGTGGTGGTGCTGGAGGAGGTGACTCCATGGCACAGTCTCCACTTGGAGCCCAGGGACTGGGCATCTCAACATCTGGACACACAGGCTCACTAGCCACAGGCTGCAGAGAAGGCTGGAAACGGATTTGTTGGCGGATGCCCTCCCGTCGGGCATGGAAGTCCTCAATCTCAGCCACAATGGCCTCCTTAATGCGCTCCCTGGTAAGGGCTTCACGGTCAAAAGCAAAGTCAAAAGGTGGAGCACAATCAGGCTCATCATCAGGGTCATGGTACTTAGCCAGGAAGGGGTGACGAAGGGCAGCAGCAGCTGAGATCCGGGCACTGGGTTCAAATCGCAACATGCGGCCCAGCAATGAGAGGGCCTGGCGGTCAGCACCTGGGTATACCGTCTCCCAGGGTACAGGCTGCCGTGGTGGCAGGCTCTGGATATAGGCCCGCACCCTTTCAGCCCCCACAGCCTGAATCACAGCTGGCGATGGGGTTCCCAACACCATCATGATCAGCTGTAACTGGTGCACATAGTTTTTGCCCGGGAAGAGCTGTCGCCGAGCCAGCATCTCCCCAAAGATGCAGCCCACAGACCAGAGGTCAATAGCCTGTGTGTACTCATGCAGGGAAAGCATGAGTTCAGGGGCACGGTACCAGCGAGTGGCCACATACTCGGTCATGAAGTACTGGTGTTCGGCAGGGGAGGTACACAGGCCACGGGCCATTCCAAAGTCACCAATCTTGAGCTCGCAGTTCTCATTCACCAGAAGATTGGAGGGTTTAAGGTCACGGTGGATGACTTGGGCCGAGTGCATGTACTTGAGGCCCCGAAGCAGCTGATACAAGAAGTAGCGCACGTGCTCCAGTGTGAGTGGCTGTGAGGAGTGGATAATCTGGTGAAGGTCGCTCTCCATGAGGTCCAGTACCACATAGCTGGAAATGGCGAGACAGGTGTGAACTGGCCTCTTCACACTACAGACAAGCCCCATCCTCACCTGCCCTCCCAGCCTTACGCTGAAACCCCAAAGCATGAGCAGCATGGTATGAAAGAATGGCATCAGGTTCCAGACTTTTCTACAGCTTTTTAGAAAAGATTTTTAAAGTTTCATGTGTATGTTTCTCTGCATGTATACATGTGTACTACATAAGCACCCGATGCCCACAGAGGCCAGAAGAGGGAGTCTGAGTCCCTGGAACTGGAGTTACAAATATCTGTGAGCCTCCATGCAGACACTGGGAACTGATCCCGGGTCCTCTGCAAGAGCAGCAACTGCTCTTAACCACTGAGCCAATGCTCTAGCCCCAACTTTTCCACTACTTTTTGCCAGATCATTTTCTCCATAGACCTAATTTCTCTGTTAGGTTTCTTTTAAAAAGGTGTTTAGTTATACCAGGCTTGGCCAGCACGGTTAATTTCGGAGCAGACTCTATTGTTTGCCAGCAGTTACTGGAAAAGCTGTGATGAAATTGTGAAAGTCTGTCAATTTTCTATTTTTAAGAAAGTATTTTGTGATCAATTAGTTATGTCTGCCATTAGAACAGGAAGGTGCCATGACATTACAAGGTCCTGTGTCAGCTACCTTATAAAATTTGGACCTGTTCTGTTTCTCTCACTCTCCTGTTGTTGTTTGGGTTTGCGTTGTCATTTGAGATAGGGTCTCATGTAGTCCAGGCTAGCCTTGAACTTACAATACAGCCAAAGCTGACATGCCCAAATAAAGAAATATAGATCCTCTCTCTTTTTTCCCCAGAAGAGTCAAACTAAACCCTCAAAGATGCTCATCAGTCTCCTACTGACCTACATCCCCAGCCCTTGTACTCTTCTTGAGAAACAAGACTTGTCCCTACCAATGTCCTACAGGAACACAGGTCCTGGAATTGTGGGACTCCTCCCAGCCTGTCTCACATTAGGTTCAGCGGCCCTAACCAGACTTCTAACCTGGTCTCAACAATGTCTCCCTCTCCTATCCCACTCCTTACACAGATTTGAACTCTCCATAGGGCACAGTTGGCCTCAGGATGTCCTTGATGGCGATGATATTGTCGTGCTTGAAGTGTTTGAGGATCTTCAGTTCCCTGAGGGTCCGTTTGGCATTGGTCACCACGTCAAAAGCATTGGGTATCTTCTTGATGGCCACCTGCTGGCCTGAAGAGCCGGGAAAAGGCACATATATACCAGGGGATACCCTGCAGCAGCTGCAGGCCCCTCTGACACTGCCCTTCTAGAACCCAAAGAACAACAGGTACATCTCTGCTATGTGTGTAACATCAAATTTTAACGTCACAGCTACGCAGGAGGCAGGTACTAATAGCTCACACACAAAGGTGGCACAGCTACTTAGTGTGCTCTTGACTGTACTACCCGAGCTCACTTTCCTGCCTCACCATATTCTCTCCATCCCAGATCTTCCCCGTTCCGCAACCAAACCATTGTGCCAATCTCTGGCTCTTCTCAAAGATAGCTTTCTGGACACCAAGGGGCACCTCTCTATTCTGGTTTACAGGGATCTCATTTTCCTAAGGAGAACGATGCTGACTGGGCAATGCAGGGTTCCTAAGAAGGGTACCTAACGGGGAGCTGGCACCGAGTCGGTAAGTGGCGAGTGGAACCAGAATCCCCGGTGCAGCTGATCCTCCCGGGACTGTGCGGGTTCCTCACCGCCTCTGGAAAGCAGTCCACACATGCTGGGCCTCAGGAAGCCAGCTCACCCGTGAGGCGGCGGCGCGCCGAGGACACCACCCCATAGGCCCCATTGCCTATGGTCTCGATGATCTCGTACTCATCCCCCACGTCAAAGGTCACGTCGAAGGAGCGGGCTTTGAGCAGGGCCAGGTTCTTGGCCACGACAGAGGCCGTGGAGTGGACGGGCTCTGCCTTCACCCGCCCAGGGGGCTCCCCAGAGCCGTCTTCGCCATCCTCTTCTTTCAGCGGTTCAGCCATGGTGTGAGTGGAGTCGCGGGTGAGAAGACCACCCCGAGGGTCTCAGTTTCCCCTCTGTGGGCCAGAAGGGAGGACCTGCGCAGCAGGCGAGAGGGGGCGGCTGGCGCGGCGAACCCAGTGCCCCGGGAGTAGGGGCTCAAGGGGGCGCGGCGCGGCCCCGGAAGAAAGGGAGGGGCGGGGCCCTGGGGCTCCAGGGACCGCACTCACCGACCCGCCGGGACCTCGCCGCCACGCCTCCACGGCGACTGGGGGATCCCGGGTCCTGCCAACCCAGCGACGAGTATTCCCCTGGACTCGCTTACTAATTAAGGACCGCAGCCACCACTTCAGCCTCGCGCGCGTCACGCCAGACCACCCCGCCGGCCGCCCCAGGACCACGCTCCTTCAGTCGCTGGCCAATCGTTGAGCGGTCCCCACGGAGATCCCACCCCTTCGTTTTACTCTATCCAATCAGGATTCACCGGACGAGGAAGCCGCACCCTTGTCTTGCACGCACGCGCGCGCGCGCGCGTTCCCAGCTGTCCAGCTCGCGGCGGGAGACGCCCAAGGGGTGATGCGCGCACCTCGGGGGTGCGTGCGCAGCCCCGCAACGCTCTGACGCATGCGTGCCAGCAGCCTCAGGAGCTGGGAGAAGGGAGAGCAAAGCCCCACCAGGTTCGCCTGCACGTCAAGGCGTACAGTCTCCACACGCCCGAAGGGGCGGAGATACGATGGGGGGGGCTGTTACCTAGGCAACAGGCTCCGCACCCCCCCCCCCCCCACCTTTCCTTTGGGCTCCTCTTTCTTGTTAGCCTCATCTCCTAGGGGATTTGCATTGCACTTTTCTGGCGCCGGAAGTTCTGGCCATCTGGTCCCCAAGTAGTGATCGCAGAGACCCAAATCCTCCGTATTCTAGAGCGTCGCTGACCCGGGCCACAGTCCCTGGCCTAGATGCACACGCCCTCTGGACCGCGACAGAACCAGTACCCCATTGTTTATTTCCACGCCATCCCGCTACGGTCATCCGGAGAAGGCCAAAGTGAGCGCTGTTAACCGAGAGTTGGAAACGTTCTCGGTAGGCAGTTCTAGTGGGGCCCACTCCAAAGAGGTCAGGGTTTCCTAAAGAGACCAGAAAAATGTGGAGGGAAAAGCTGGGATGAAACTCAGTAAAGTGTGAGTCCCGCTCGACATTTATTACGCCGTTCTCAACTAAAAGCTGAAGGTTGGGTCCAGACCAGAAATGAATTTTGGTAAGCATACACAGGTGTTTGTTGTCCCGCCTTTTGTACTTTGTACCAAAATACATGCAGAAAGTTTCAGTACATTTTCATAAACTTAATAACACCCATTGTTCCATTTATTTTATTTTATTTTTAAAGCTAAGCTTTGTGGCTCACACCTTTAGTCCCAGCACTGGAGAGGTAGAGGCTGGCGAAATCTCGAGTTCAGGACTAGCCTGGTCTATAACTGAGTTTTCCAGGTCAGCCATGGTTTACACCGTGAACCTCTGTCTCAAAACAGTTAATAAGCCCCTTCCGTTTCTAAGGCAGATTTGGGGGTCTATGGCTGTTGTTAACTCATTGTCCATACTTAGGGAGTTCAAGAGCTTCATTACGACATGTACCTCAAAATATAAAAGTAGTGATTATATCTTTACAACTCCCATGCATGTTGAGGAGGGAGCTGGAGAGATGGTTCCGTCGGTAAAGTGCTTGTGTTCTAATCCTCAGCACCCATATAACAAGCCCAGCATAGCTGCCTTGGCGTAACGCTCAGTTCTAGGGGCTACCAGAGGCTCTCTGCACAGTGTAGCCAAACTGGTGAGCTCCGGGTTCAGGAAAAGACCCTGTCTCAGAAATTAGGCGGCAATGATGGAGGAATGCACCCAGTGTCAACCTCTGGCCTCTGCATATACATGCATTGTATGCACACACATATGAGAAAAATAAATAGCAATAGAAAAAAAACTATAGTTAGGTATGTGGGGTAAGCCCCAGGACAAATACACACCTAGGAGGTATAGACATGTAATCATAGACGCTAGCTATAAATTTACTTCTGATTTTCTTGACAGACCAAATGCTTTTAAAAGATTTTCATAGATCATTAATTAGTAAATCGTATTTGTGAAAAATGGGCATGCTGTCCCTGAGGTTCTTTGGTGGCCTTTTCTAGGTGATGAGGCAGACAACCTTTCCTGCCTCTGAAGCATGTGCAGTACAGTCAGACAGAGCCCTAAGCAGAATCCCAGCAGTACTGTTCTCTATATACCTAGAACTGAAGGCCTGTGTCTGTGCAGAAACCAACACACAGGTCTTATGAATATTGATTCACAATACCAAAATATTAGAAACTCAAATGTCAATCAACTGATGAGCAGACAAAAAGGAAAAAGAAGAGGAAAACTTACGTAGAAATATTTTTTAAAGCTGAATATAGTGGCACATGCCTTTAATCCCAGCTTGGGGAGCAGAGGCAGATGTAGATCTCTGCGTTTGAGGTCAGTCTGATCAACAGAGTGAGTTCCAAGCTAGGTGAGACCCTGCCTCAAAAACACTAAACTAACTAAGTAAAATAATTGGCATATTAATACATAATACACTGTGGACAGACCTTTAAAACATGGTGCTAAGTAGAAAAGGGCAGGTACATGACTTTTTTTTTTTTCCTATGCAAGGCTTCTCTATGTAGCCCAGGCTGTCCTGGAACTCACTCTAGACCAGGCTGATCTTGAACTCTGGGATTAAAGGCATGCGCCACCACGACTTGGCTATGTGTCTCCATTTTCACCGCATCTCCAGAGTAGGCAAATCCACAGAATCACCGTTCAGGGTTGCCCAGGGCCTGGGAAGGAAGGTATGCAGATAGGTTACTTTAGGGGGCTGGTGTAGATTTTATCTCTAATTCAGCACGTTCAGTGGAGACCCTACAGTTCGACTTTGGTTGCAATGTCCTTCTGTTCAAGCAGTGCTGCAGTGATTTGCTGAGCAGATCGTCCCTGTGCACCCCACACAGATCTGTGGGAGAGGTGCCCTGAAGCGGCAGTGCTGAAAGAGGACTGGAGTTCTTGTTTTACTAGAGGGCGCCAGATTGTTAGCCTCAGGAGCCCTCCTGGTACAGATATCACTGGTAGTGTGGGAGAGTAAACCCAGGCAGTGGTTTCCGGTTGAAAATGATTTGCCTGTGTTTCAGATGGGGAGTTTCCTTCATACAGTCTGATCTGTCACTGTCAGCCCAGCATTCCACACAGCGCCATGGGCTGGAACCCCCCCCCCCCGCCCCCACCTGATGGATGTGGTTTCTTCAGTTCACCACTGCCTCTACCACCCACACCTCCTAACCCAGGCTCAGTGAATGGTGTCACTTTGGTGCTTGAACCTCTGTGTTCTGCATCTTATAAAAGCCAGGAAAAGGAACTGGCTGAGAGGATTATGCTTTCAAAACAAAAGTCAGCCCAAGCATATTGGGAGTGGGCAATGAAGATTATAAATGTAGCAATATACAAAGCTCACCTCTCTTGGCTTCCATTTCCTGGTTGGCCACTGGGGCATTTAACTCAGAATCCCCAGATTAGGCTGCAGGAAGTCACTGGGAAGTCTGTGTAGGAAAATGGCTCTTTTGAGCTGTGGTTCTGAAATATGCTTCTGGCCAGCAAACAGCTTGGGGCGCGTGTGGTAAGGAGAGGCTGGAGGCAATGGAGGAGGAGGGCTCAGTCCTCCCCAGTGGGGGTGTGGGGGTGTGGGAGTGTGGGGGTAGGTAGGAAAGTGCAAGTTCAGAGAGCAGCACCATGGAAAACGAACCTGGGGAGTGTTGAAGTTCCTAGTTAGGTGACAGAAATGTTCCCCGAGACACATTCTCAGCAAGAGGAACCCACGGGGTGACCATGAGCAATACACTTCATGGAGGAGGCTTCAGGGCTGCTTGCTGTCTCTCTGGTAGTGAATCCAATCTACTCCGAGCCTTGTCCTGCCAGCTTTCCTGATACTTGAGACTGGACACTTACCTGCAGCGGCTCCCAGTGGGAGATAGCCTGCAACCCTGGAGATTGCTGTTCTTCCCATGGACTACCAGACAGTGTGTCACACCTAGAGCACGTCCTGACACAGGAATGAAGATGTTTCTCAAACAGAATTAATGTAAAGTCTTTTTTTTAAAATATTTATCTATTTATTATGTATACAATATTCTGTCTGCATGTATGCCTGCAGGCCAGAAGAGGGCACCAGACCTCATTACAGATGGTTGTGAGCCACCATGTGGTTGCCAGGAATTGAACTCAGGACCTTTGGAAGAGCAGGCAGTGCTCTTAACCACTGAGCCATTTCTCCAGCCCCTTAATGTAAAGTCTTAAAGAGTAGACACTGTGGACAGAAACACAGTACATGAATTTTGAGAGGGCAGTGGAGGGAATATGAATCACCCCTCCCGCCAGGAGAATGGGGACCTTTTAGAGTTAAAGTTGGAATTATGATGGCTTAATGAGAATAACTCTTATAGGCTCATATATTTGAACTCTTGGTCCCTAAGTTGGTGGGCTGTTTAGGAGGAATCTGGAGGTGTGGTCTTGTTAGAAGAGGTGTGGCGTGGGGTTTGAAGTTTTAAAGTCCATGCCATTCCCAGGTCTGTCTGTCTGTCTGTCTGTCTGTCTGTCTTTGCTTGTGGCTTGAGATGTGAGCTCTCAGCTGCTGTTCCCAGCACCATGCCTACATCCTGCACCATGCTACCCACCCAGATTCCCAGGCATAGACTCTAACTCTGCAATCGGGATCTACAAATTTCTGCTTTCTTTTAAACTTGTGTTGGCCATGGTGTTTTGTTTTTTTGGTTTTTGTTTATTTGTTTGTTTTTGTTATCACAACAGTAGAAAGGGAACCAGACACTTGTCTTCTGGGCCATTGTGAGGAGTCTCTTGAGTAGAGTTCAAGGGAGTAGCTCCAATCTTAAGGATAGGATTGACAACACTGTCCTTCCTGAGACTGGCCATTTAAGACAAGGCACCAGGGGCCATTGATCTCTATTTTAATAAGACAGTACAAGACATGGGAGACATCTTTTTTTTTACGCACAAATCTGAATCATTTGTTAAGGATTTAATATTCTGTAACGCGCACTTAGAAATGTTGTTTTCCGGCTGGGCGGTGGTGGTGCATGCCTTTAATCCCAGCACTCGGGAGGCAGAGGCAGGCGGATCTCTGTGAGTTCGAGGCCAGCCTGGTCTACAAGAGCTAGTTCCAGGACAGGCACCAAAAACTACAGAGAAACCTGTCTCAAAAAAAAAAAAGAAAAAAGAAAGAAAGAAAAAAGAAAAGAAAAAAAGAAACGTTGTTTCCACCTGGGCTTACCAAATGCCAGGATACAGGGTTGGCATGTGTGTCTTCAGTTTGTCTGTCTTCCTTTCTTTGAGCTCCC